TGTGTGTGTGTGTAAGTGTGTGTGTGTGTGTGTGTGTAAGTGTGTGTGTGTGTGTGTGTGTGTGTGTAAGTGTGTGTGTAAGTGTGTGTGTAAGTGTGTAAGTGTGTAAGTGTGTAAGTCTGTAAGTGTGTAAGTGTGTAAGTGTGTAAGTGTGTAAGTGTGTAAGTGTGTAAGTGTGTAAGTGTGTAAGTGTGTAAGTGTGTAAGTGTGTAAGTGTGCAAGTGTGCAAGTGTGCAAGTGTGCAAGTGTGTAAAGTGTGCAAGTGTGTAAGTGTGCAAGTGTGTAAGTGTGTAAGTGTGTAAGTGTGTAAGTGTGTAAGTGTGTAAGTGTGTAAGTGTGTAAGTGTGTAAGTGTGTAAGTGTGTAAGTGTGTAAGTGTGTAAGTGTGTGTGTGTAAGAACTTTCAAGCGGCTTTTTGCTTGGGTTTTCCAAAGACTATGAAGCAAAAACGCCCGCGCATACTCGGTCTTGATGAAAGAGATGCTAAACATCTTCGCTCATCCTCATTTCAGGATGAGCTTTCCTGGCAAGCCCGAGCTCACCAAAGACTGTGGCGAGATGCCCTTCGGGCAGCTGCCGATGAACTCACACTCGGGTCTCATCCATCTGCGTGTCCCTGTCAAGCCATTTGCATCATCGCAATTCCATGCGGAAGTTTGTGGCAAAGTGCTAAGAGCCCGACATGGATCCCAAAACGCCTCTAGCCGGGCTGGCTCGCAATTCAAATGCTTTGAGGAGAGAGCTACTTTTCGAATTGCCACTCCAACTACACTTCTATTCTTCTACCCTAAGGAATCCTAAGGATGTGTGAGATGCGCGAAGCGCTCCACTCGACCCTGCTGAAGGCGCGGCCTTTGGAGGCACTTCGTCGACAGCCCTCCGTGCCACACTCAAATTGTACTCTGCGGGAAGGCCAACGCAAACACAAAATGCAATTTCCACGAAAATGCAAACTGCCACGCCAACTTGCACACCAAATTTGCACACCCACCACGGTAGTGAACTCTCCCCTATATCATCGGCCGCAGCGCATCTGCCCGCTGATCAAACAAGAGTCTCTGAGGAGGGCCTGTTGCCGCATTGACAGCAGCGCAGCCTGAATCTCCAGAGACTGAGCGAAGCTGGGAGCTTCTAGGGCCAATGGGCGCTAACCGAAGTTGCTGAAGTTGCTTTGAAGTTGCTGAAAGCTCTGATGCAAAAGTCTCATTGCTCGCGAGCATCCGACCTCCTTTCCAGCTGCCGTGCCAGAACCTGGCCGTCTGTGATAGGCAACAGCAGGGAAACTGGGCGCCCAGGAAGGGGGAGATTGAATCGAACTGAAACCGAAGCCGAACTAGTCAATTGCGGTGACGCCGCATTGTCTGATCTGGCCGCCGAGTTGTGAAGCCGAATTCCCCTCCTTCCCTCATGCTTCGTTCCTGACGCCGTGTCACCAACAGGATGGCTTGGCGGAGCCATTTTGGAGTTTTTACAAGAGCGGCTTTCGGAGTCTTTTGTTGAATTTGTGCTCTGGTGACCACCCCCAAGCTTGCCAAGAGTCGGCGGTCACTCGGGCACTACTTCTTTCCGCAAGCCTCTAGCGAGCTAACCGATTCTTTCCGTCAATCCAACAAACGCCTCAGCTTGCGTACAACGTTGGGGAACATTCAGATTGACCGCAAATTTAGAAGATACTCAGCCTGTTGAGAACCGTGAGCCACGCGAATCTATCCAAGTCATATATGCACACACATGTACTCCTTAAAGCCCCTACGATAAACATCGTGTGCACGAAATATTTTGCGAGGAAGGGTTGCGAATCGTGAAACCACCGTGGCCTGCGTATATGAAAGCCGCGCAGAGTCTCCCTTTTCAATTTCTGTCTATGCGCATCGCCCGCGAGTACGTCGACCCACTTGCGCCGCACCTGGCCTCGAAGAAATTCTTCCTTCAAAGCCAAACCATCGAATTGCTGTTCCCGCATCGATCAACAGTCACCACAAAGGCTCCGCTCGGCTTTCGCGGCCCGCTGCTTGAGTCGGCGCGAGCGCGTAGCCCTTGGGTTTGTACGTATGTATACATTTATACTATATACACCAGATGATGCCGTCTCGTAGCCTCAGAATGCATCCTGCAGACCTCTGCGGCGTCACGAGGCGTCGATGCTACAGAACTGGGGACTGGGGACCGTGCTTCGCTATAGGCCTGAGCCAGTGGCCAGTGTTCAACTCCTCACAGCATGCAAGCCTACGGTCCTGCACGTGTGCTCAAGCACCCTTTGGTGGAGGGTTTATAGGGTTGATAGTGTTTACCGGGTTTATAGGGCGTAGCAAAAAGCATGAACTTCATGGAACTTAATGCGTGCTTATGTAACGCGTGGGAACGCGCGCGCGAGTTGCGTTTGTAAGCCACTGGCTCGAGCCGGCTGCGAAGGTGAGTGACATCAAGAGTCGGCCGGAAAACAGAGGAAACTTATGAAAATAATCTCGAAGGAAGAAGGGGAAGGAAATTCTGCGGGCGCTTTGCGGATGAGCACTGGAACCTACAGTCGGCACACAAACTAGAGGAGCAAAAAACATGATCAGGGCCTCCCCTCAGTGTCTTACCGATGCTTACCACGCTGTCCGGCCTCAACATGTGGCAGCAGGTCTGGGCAAATTGCTGAAAATATCCTCTGGAGATCTGGTGGTCACCTTCTGTCAACAATCAACAAGAGAGTGTAAGGTCTGAGCCATGGGTCAAGTGAGCCAAGCTGGCACAAGGCCTCGCAAGTCGCCGGTCTTGAGCGTTGCACGCCACGAGCTCTCACATGTTGCCACATCTCATGGCTGAACTGACTACACACCTTAACAGCAAGTGAGACAAGGCCGCGTGCAAGGCCGCGTGCCAGCTGCCGTTCACCAAACCTCGTCGGAGCACTGCACAGAAAAGGAACTGATAAGGCCTAAGGGAACCGATGAGCTCGAGGGTGAGATTGCTTTTGTTTGTCTTCTTTCGGGGTTCATCCCTTTTAGATGTTGGCTACTTGGGCCGATTTTTGGTGGGTAATCTGTGTCTTGTTGTGTTGGTGGTGCTTTGCCTCCGCTCTTTCTCTTTACAAGATGGATTTGGTGGCTTGTGACTTGTCCCCTGTGGTGATTCCTGTCCTTCTTTTTGCGGCCAGCTGTGTCTTTTCTTGTCTGTGCTCCTTTGGCTTGGGGTTTCTTCGTTTAGCCCCTTCGGCTCAGGGTTTTAGGGCTTGCCCACCCAACTTCGGGTTCGCTCACCCAGCATCTTCTTTTGGGGTTTAGGGTTTGCCCTCGTCTTTGAGGGTTTAGGGTTCGTTTAGGGTTTGGGGTTTGCCCACCCAACATCTTCAGGTTTAGGGTCTGCCCACCCAACATCCTCTTCTTGTGGGGTTAAGGGTTTGCATGTTCTTGGGGTTTGCCCACCCAACATCTTCTTTTTAGGCTTTAGGGTGTGCATGTTCTGATAGGGTTTGCCCACCCGACGACTTTTTTACTTTTAGGGTTCAGGCTTAGGTTTGCTGCCAGATCTCAGCCAACGTCGACCCGCGGGAAGCTTGGAATGGTGCGCAGCCGGTCGAGATGCTCAGGCCCGCGCCCGTGGTTCGGAGTCGTCTTTGCAATGGATGGCCTTGGAAACGTTGCTGCTCTCGTTTATGTGGCTTTCGGCCTCCAGAACATGCATGCAGCACATGCAGCACGTGCAGCACTGCTGGAGTTGGGCTGAGTTGGCAGCATGCGATGGAAGCTTCCCGATCAGGGACTTCCGCCTCGAAGGACGGGATACTGATGCAAGGCTCCACTTGGATCACTGCATGCCAAAGGTCGCTCCTCTGGCAAAAGCCAGCGGCAATGAACGCCATGTGCTTCGGCCTCGGCCCAAGAAAGCCCAAGCACAAAGCATGGAGCTCACCAAACAAAGGCGACGGCTCGTGCTGCAAGGAAATCTGCCCATCCCCGCCAGACAAAATGGACACATCTTCTGCATGTCGACTCAGTGTGTCAGCAGAACACGGGTCGGCCTTACTGCAGGAATGAGATACTAAGTGCATTCCCAGAATATTCAAAGAGCTGATCTTTTGATGGATCAGGCCAGAAGCCAGAGGCCGTCAATTCAAATCTGCAACAGGCGATGCTTGTTTGTTCGCACTTGATCCGATTACGATGATCATGAGATCTCTCATGATCATCGCAATGGGATCTAGTGATCTACCTAGCACTTGCCATCAGAGAAGCTGGAGAAGCGTGCCACGTTGGCCAAGCGAACCTGCTCCTGAAAGCGAACGTACATTAGGAGTGTGTTGGGAGAAGTCAAGCTCGCAGGTTTCGGCCAAGCACCAGAGACATAACACGAAGCGCGAATGGACACATCACAAAACTGCACAGAGCCGTCAGCAACCTTTCAATGAACTGAAGCAGCGTCCCGACACCTCTCTGGGGATCCGCGCGCCAAGTTCCTGTTTTCTCTCAGGTCGAGGGATTCAGCGGAGCTCAAGAGCTGGAGGAGCCTCTCCTAAGATCACCCCAAACCCGATTGTTGAACGGCACGGCTAGTGAAAGTCAAAGTCGCAGGCATCGGGATGAACAGGATCCCTTTTTGTCATCACGACATAGGGTTTCAGTTGCCCTCAGGATGGATGCAAAAAAACAGTGCATTTCAGACATCGCAGCGGCAGCTGAGAATTGGCTGACACACGAGGCCGGACCATTTGACCCCGCTTCGGAACACAGACGCAACAAGATCGAACTAGGAGCACTAAGCCCTAAACCGTACATCCTAAACCCTAAACCCTTAACCCTAAACCAATAGACTGCAACTCAACTCCAAGAAAACCCGTTCTCGATCTGCGGCTCATCATGATGACTACACAGGACCGGGAGGGGTAAGCAAATCTAAGGAACACGTCTGCGAAGGCGCCTTTCGCATGCATCTCTTCGAGACACAAGAAGGCCGTCTTCGGAAAAACGTCTCGCGACACAACCCGAAGGCATGTGCCGACGTCGGAAATATGCCGTATCACAATCCCAGTATCGTGTCAGCATTAGAGCCCTCCGCCTCAGCCCCCTCAGCCACATACAAGCTATCAATGAGCTCAAAGAGGCGATTGAACTCGTCGTTGGTGCATTTCTTGCAGATCACCAGGGCATCTTTTATCTTCATGTCGAGAATTTTGTCCATCTCGTCGAAGCTGCCCATCTCCTCAACAACAAGAGACTTGATGGTCTCTTGGTCCTCCTCGCATGTCGCTTCAGCTTCTGATAGGGACAGGTCGGCAAGCCGCTTCCCGATGGTGATAGCCACCTCAGTCGTAGCCTGCCCAAAGTTCACAATGCCGGTGTTTGTGCAGAACTGGAGACCCTTGAAGTCTTCGCGTTTCTTCTCCAGGAGCACGGTCTGGAGCAGCTCAAACAAACACCAGGACCTCGTCAACGGCAGGGCCTTCTCATCCAAGATCATACAGGTCCCTTGAACAGGGGCGCTGTGCAAGGCCAGGTAAAAGGATGATTCCTTGTGACTGGTGCCGAGCTCATGCGCTATTTGATACTGGTTGTTGCTGAAAGCACAGATCCAGTATGAGATCGTTTGCCAGGATGTCCCTTTCTGTCCTGAAGTTACGTGCTCGGCATGCCGCCTCAAAGCTTCACAAGTGTAAGCGAACTTCGTGCCCCAGTAGTGAGACACGAACCACGCGACTGTGGAGGGGCCCAGTAGCTCGGCAAGAGACAACTTCACATGAGAGGTCAAAGGTTGGACAATGTTAGAGTCGATGTAATACAAGTTCCGATCCCGTATGTACTGCTGAAACTGCTGCATCAAGTCGAAGATCTGGTAAGCAGTGAGCGCACGATCAGGACCCTTCTTGCATGCCACCGGGTTCGGGTGCCTGCGCTGGAGGTCCCTTAGGAAGACCTGGATGGACTGATGTATTGGCGAGGGTCTCTCTCTCAAGAACCTCAAAAGCCAAGCAGCAACGCAGCCTAAAAGGCAACCCGAGAGTGCCACTCCAGTCCCGCCCCAAGTTTGGAATGCTGGCTCGCTCTGAAGGTTGGCAAGAACCAGCAAGGGGACGGAAGCCAGCAACAAGACCTTCGTTGAGCATTGGAAGAGCTGCCACATGAAGAGTCGGAATAAGGGCTTGGGGGCAACTGGTTCTCAAGAAGCTGCGGAAAGCTGATTTCCAAAAGTCTCCAGCGACGGAGGCCACGAGGAGCACCGGCACGCCGCGGAGTAAGTCCGTGTGTGCTACGCAACGGGCGTAGCGCAGCACAAAGTAACCTCGGCTGCCCTTCCAGTAGCAAAATCAGAGGATCACCACGTCCCCACAGTGAGCAGCAGAACCGGCTTGCGTCGGTCGGGAGATCTCGATCTAAACACGCAGCCTGCCACAACGCTACCCATAATGCCATGCTGATCTGCTGATCCCCTCGACCTTCACTACCAACTCACTTACGTCCACCTACCTCGGCATGCTGCCGCCCTGACCACGGCAGATACTCCATCGACTACGGGCAAGTTGCGAATCGTGAGCTGGTCTTTAACTAGAGCTCAGCAGCCCCGGGAGGTGTCGGCACTCGCCACCGAGTTGCCCTTGTCCTTAGCACATTGCGAGACGCGTAGAGATCCCATCCCAGGCCCATGCGACGCAGCGAGCAGCGTCCCGACGCATCCAAGGTGCGTCGAGGAGCTGGAGGCGATTCGGTCCCACGGGCCTCGCCCGGTAAAGGAAGCTCCCGGGCGCCGGCTTCCGGTCGAGCTGGTAGTGGCCTCACACAGATCTGTTCTGGGCTTCGACCTTCAATCCCAACCTCCCCTTGACTTTGTTTGGTTCGAAAGTCGCGAGCTGCCTGTCTGGTAGAAGTAGATGGGAAACGTGCCAAAGCGGGCCGTGAGGTGATGCGGCTGGACGGTCGTGACGAAGGCCTCTCTGGATTTCGGGGCGCTGGGGGGCTGCCCCTTGGGTTTTAGCGATATTTCTCCCCCTTCAAAGCCCCCTTCTCAAATTCTCTCTCCCAAGGCTTTGAAGCTAAAACGCTCGCAGAGACGCGCAAAGCATCCCTGCACCAAGGCTCCCAAGGCCCCCAAGGCCCCAAGGCCCCCAAGGCCCCCAAGGCCCCCAAGGCCCCCAAGGCCCAAGGCCCCCAAGGCCCCCAAGGCCCCCAAGGCCCCCTCGGCCCCCAACGCCCCCAAGGCATCAGCCAAGTTGCCGTCCAGTCTCCGTTCTCTGAGGGCGTGGAGGAGATATCTGCAATGTGCACCTGGCAGGGAGTGGGGGAGGCCCTGCTTTCGGTCTTAAGGACGAAAAATCTGCAGAGGAGCACCTTCCGCCCTGAGATGCTCAAACGTCTGCACCCTGGCTCGATGGAGAAGCTCATCTGATACCACAGGAGAACCCAGCCAATGAGGTAGCACAGGCAAAGACCAACTATCTGGCTGGCGTTCGCGGCCCGGGTGTTGCAGTCGTCTCGGGCTTGGTTGGGCTCGTCCCAAAAATAGTCGCACTGCTGGCAGGCTCCCGTTCCATTGGGGCTGTACAGCCCAGGTGGACAACAAAAAACCTCTGCAACTGGGGTCATCTGCTGAACAGCCAGCCCACAAGGCGAAGCCATGGCAACCGGCTGACACCAGCATGCACGGTACCTGCCGGGTGGCAATTTGTCCTCAGCGACTTGGCCGAAACTGTAGAGGAACTTCGTTGAAGACCGCGTTACATTCGCCAATAGCATTGGTCCTTCACTGCCGCAGTCTTGTTGGATGCTTAGGACACCGCCGGATGTGATCCCCACTCCCGACAGTTCGAGCTCGAAGACTTCACCGATGGTAGCGACTTCTGGCACTTCCCTCTTAAAGGGCCCACGCCAGGTCAGCTGTCCGGCAGACACGTTGAAGTCGGAAAGAGACTCACAGGCACCTTCCGTATCATTCTGACACCAGCAGAGGTTGTACACACCAGGGTCCCGCCCAGCCATCCACTTCCGTCCCGTAAGGGTGGTGTCCAAGTACGCCCCGGAGCTTGGGCCATACCACGCAAACCGGAAGTTCTGGGCCCAAGACTGCAGCGTGTCTGCTTCCACATCGGAGCAAGTGGCGGCGGGCGTCACCTGGAACAGCGACGTCAGCATGGACAGGCCAAATGAACTCGTGGTGGTCGCAAAGCACGAGATCGCCCCTGACACGCAGTTCTGCTTGTGCAGACTGCCGGGGCCCACGACATGCAAGGTTCCAAGCCTTAGTTCTCGGCAAGTCAAGTCTTCCTCGCCTCACCACATTCACCTGAAGATTCACCTGAAGATTCACCTGTCCATCGAGCCATGGGCATGGACCAGCATCGGTTCGAAAGCAGGTGTCACAAGTCTCCGAAGCGCTCACCAAGATCAGATCTTCGGCAGTGACGTTGTCACTGTCAAACTGAATGGAGCACGGACGATTTTTCACGCATTCCCAAATTGGGAGATCGGCGAGTGCCGAAGCAAGACCAGCCGCCAAAAACCTGACACGCCACGAGGACATCGCAGGGTGTCCTGCAGTGAAACCACCTGAGCCCATCACGGCCGCGGAGACAAAGAGTTCAGCTGCGCGCGGAAGCGCGAGCAAACCCTTCTTGGCTCTCGAATGCTCTCAGGCCGCAGCTGCGCGAGTGCCACCTTCGCCGGGCGATCTCATGGGATTCGTGGGTTCAGCCCGTGCGGTGTCCGGAATTAGCTCTTTTGCAAAGAAAGGGCTTGGGAACGCGCTCGCACGAACCAGACAACTCTGTCAACGATAGCTTCCATCAGGCATCTGGCCGCCTTAGCAGTGCCAGCAACTTGCACTCCTCCCCCTCTGTCCTGGAAAGCTGGTCTACATGCATTGCCAAGAGGCTGTCTTTAAATCATGCGCCGGCTCGTTGCGCTCGATCTCCTGGCCACATATTTGTATCTGACCCTTGCTCTGCATGAATGTCTGTTGCTGGCACTTGTGAAGCTCGCTGCCTAGGTTTCCGCCGTCTCTGCCAAGCCTCCTCATCATTGGCACCCATCCGGTCACATGGACCTTTGCCCGGTCACTCATGCAGTTTCCGCATTGCCTGCAGGGCTCAATGTAAGCATATTAGGGCTTTAGTACCTTTCCCACGAGTTAGTTCACCAAAAGGCTGTTATGTTTGGACCTTTGTCTCCCACCTTCTACCCCCCACTCCCACCCCCTGCCCCCTACCCCCCACTCCCACCCCCGACCCCCCACCCTTACCCTTGCGGAGCCTCTTCCAAAAAGCCGGCACTGCAAGTGAGAGTCGCTGCAGGCATCGCAATGAATAGAGCTGCTCAGACGATTAAAACCACTGAGGGACTGCAACTCAACTTAAAGAAAACCAGATCTGCATTTTCAAGAAATTCACCCTCATTAAATCAGTTATATGTGAGAGGACAAGACACCTCAATAAATACTATTTCAGCAACACTAAAATGTACTGCGTTAAGTCCCATCATTGGCCCTCAGCACCGCCAGCGAGGGAACGCGGACAAGCGCGCGCCCCGCTGCACCCCGAGCTCCACGGAGCGCGCGCTACGCCGTGCCCGCGTTAGTTGCTGTAAGAAGCCGAGCGCCTCAAAGCCGGCCGCCCACTTCGAGTCCCAAGACGACGAGGCGGCAACTGCCAAGCCGAGGAGGGGGGATGCTTTTCCACGGTCATGTACGTGTGTCTCCCAAACAACTTTCAAAAAAGATCTCGCCCAAGTTTTTTGCACGGGCTACGCAACTCCCTCGTTTTCCTCAGTCTTTCAGTTTTGGGCACATTCAGGGTTGGGGTTTAGGATTTGAAGGGAAAAAATATGGTATGGATCCAAGACTTCCGCTGTGACAAACTTTTCTGTTCAGGTTTTGCATGAGGAAGCTCCGTTTGCCTGCCATTTTTAGGCGCAGGGTCTGTAGGGGCAAGCCGTTTACACATGGGCAGGCAGGAGGAGTACGGCAGTTAACTGGCAACCACTGGCTTTTCCAAAAACATTTCTTTTGTGATGTACTTTCTGATTTGGATTGCGAAAACAATGGTGGAATGTGAGTGATCGATCAGTGTATCTGGTAGTTGATCAGTCAGCTTTCATGCCCACCCCCAATAGAAACAGGAGGAAGCCCCTCCTGGAGCCCTCCCCCCTCCCCCCTCGGCCCCTGCCTTCTAAAGGGGGAGATGGGGAAGTGGGGGGCACTTCCCGGAGCCGCGGCAACCAACCTCTTCATCTCTCCCTCTCTCTCTCTCTCTCTCTCTCTCTCTCTCTCTCTCTCTCTCTCTCTCTCTCTCTCTCTCTCTCTCTCTCTCTCTCTCTCTCTCTCTCTATATATGTTATATATATATATATCTCTCTCTATATGTTATATATATATATATGTGTGTGTGTTCTACAATCTACAAAACCAATTGCACCAGAAAAAAAAAAAAAAAAAAAAAAAAAAAAAAAGTAGACTCACACGCCTCATAAGCCTCAAAACAAACGTGCCTGGCATGGTGTTTCGGGAGCCACAGAGCTTGGAAAAAAAAAACACGGATCGGCAAGCAAAAAAAAACTCACAGAACCATGTGCTTGAACCATCTGCGTTAACGCCTTGCGCCATCAGCGGAGTCAGTCTCTCTGCAAAACCAAATGCTTTAGTGCCAACTGCTCAGGATCAGGCGTCCATTGAGGAACAAGGAACGTATCAGCGACTTGTCCCTGAAGACCTCCAAAGCCTCCAACGCTGCCAGATCTCAGCTAGTGTCGACACACGGGAAGCTTGGAATTGTGCGTGGGCGAGATGTTCAGGCCCGCGCTCGTGGTTCGGAGTCGTCTTTGCAATGGACAGCCTTGTCTGACCTTGGAAACGTTGCTGTTCTCATTTATGTGGCTTTCGGCCTCCAGAACATGCATGCAGCACATGCAGCACATGCAGCACATGCAGCACTGCTTGAGTTGGGCTGAGTTGGCAGCATGCGATGGAAGCTTCCCGGTCAGGGACTTGAGCCTCCAAGGACGGGATACGGAGATCCTGAGTGCACTCCCAAAACATTCAAAAAGCTGATCTATTGATGGATCAAGCCAAAAGCCACAGGCCCTCAAGACAAATCGGCCACAGGCGACGCTTGCTTGTTCGCACTTGATCCCTTTACGATGATCGTGAGATCTCTCATGATCATCGCAATGGGATCTGGTGACCTACCTAGTATTTGCCATCAGAGAAGCTGGAGAAGCGTGCCAAGCCGAACATACATGAGGAGAGTGTTGGGAGAAGGGTGTATCATCACCTGCACTTTAGCACAAGCGTCAGGCCATAAAGCACGCAAGTTGCGGACAAGGACACATAACACAAATCGCGAAAGAACGTAGACACTGCTTCACTACCTGCGCTCTCGTAAGATGACACCACCCCCCACCAGCCCCGTACTTGGTTCACATCCAAAGACGCCACCGTCCACGGCATCGACGTGACACCAAAAACTCCTTTCCCACAAGGGCTGCATGCCCGGTCTGTCTCCTCGAACCGTCCGTCCCCCGCGAACATGTCACGTTTCCGTGCTACGACGCCTTCACACACGTCTCCTGCTTGTGGCGCAGACTTGGAGGGCCGATGCCCCCATCTACCTCAAGAACCAAACTGCGGGCACGGTGTGAGCTTGGCATGCTCGGCCTCGACCCCATCGCCCCTTCCAGCCACCAGACAACCCATACGATAGTTAGGGATTCTGCAGCCAGAACGTTTTCCAACGCCGACGTGCCTGAACCGCCTGAAGCCCAAAACTGGGCTACGCTCCACGAAATGGCAATGCCTGTCCGCACGCTCAGCCGGCAAAAACATTACCATTTCGTGGAGCGTAGCATAGCCCAGTTTCCGCGTTCCCTGTCCGCGCGCTCCGCCGGCGACAAATTTGCCAGTTCGAGGGACGTAGCCCAGTTTCCGGGTTTCCTGTCCGCGCGCTCCCCCGGCGAAAACATTACCAGGTCGTGGAGCAAGGCTCACTTTCCGGGTTTCTTTGTTTTTTTTCCTGTCTGCGCGTTCCGCCGGCGAAAACATTGCCAGTTCGTGGAGCGTAGCACAGCTTCCGATTCACCGGGCGCTCCACCGGCGAAAACAATACCATTTCGTGGAGCCCAACTTCCGGGTTTCCTGTCCGCGCGCTCCGCCGGCGAAAACATTGCCAGTTCATGGAGCGTAGCCCCGTTCAGGAAACCCAGAAACTGAGTTACGCTCCACGAACTGGCAATGCTTTCGCCGGCGGAGCGCGCGGACAGGAAACCCGGCAACTGGGCCACGCTCCACGAACTGGCAATGTTTTCGCCGGCGGAGCGCGTGGACAGGAACCCGGAAACTGGGCTGCGCTCCACGAACGGGCAATGCTTTCGCCGGTGGAGCGCGCGAAGAGGAAGCCCGGAAACTAGGCTACGCTTCACACACTGGCAATGTTTCCGCCGGCGGAGCGCGCGGACAGGAAACCCGGAAACTAGGTTACGCTCCACGAATTGGCAATGCCGACGCCGGCGGAGCGCGTGGACAGGAAACCCGGAAACTTGGCTACGCTCCACGAACGGGCAATTTTTTCGCCGGCGGAGCGCGCGAAGCGGAAACCCGGAAACTGTGCTACGCTACACGAACGCTCCGCCGGCGAAAAAATTGTTAGTTCGTGGAGCGTAGCCCAGTTTCCGGGTTTCCTGTCCGGACGCTCCGCCGGCGAAAATATTGCCATTTCCTGGAGCGTGGCCCAGTTTCCTGGTTTCCTGTTCGCGCACTCCGCCGGCGAAAACATCGCCAGTTTGGAGCGTAGCCCAGTTTCCGGGCCTCCTGTTCGCGCGCTCCGCCGGCGAAAACATTGCCCGTGCGTGGAGCGTAGTCCAGCTTCCGGGGTTCCAGTCCGCGCACTTCGCCGGCGAAAGCACTGCCAGTTCGTGGAGCGCCCAGTTTCCGGTTATCCTGTCCGCGTGCTCCACCGGCGAAAACATTGCCAGTTCGTGGAGCATAGCCCAAATTCCGGGTTTCCTGTCCGCGCGCTCCGCCGGCGAAAAAATTGCCAATTCGTGGGGCGTAGCCCAGCTTCCGCGTTCCCTGTCCGCGCGCTCCGCCGGCGAAAACATTGACAGTTCGTGGAACGTAGCACAGTTTCCGGGTTTCCTCTCCGCGC